TGACTTGTTGTCTGAGACAAAAAAAGGCATGACCACTAATTCATTGTCGTGGATGAGAATTTAGAAAAATAGCCATGGATGCTCAGTTTTGAACCCTTAGTGTCCTCTGAAATAACTGTGGTTATTCCATTATTAAAATGATGCAGGATCTCCCTGCTCATTGTGGTGGCTATTTTAAGAATTCAGGGAAGCTGTTAAAATTAATCTTTTTTTTTAGTACGTTTGCATGATAACAGATTTCATCGGAAGACTTTTCTGGCTACTACACCACCTAAGCAAAGGCTCCTGTTGCAGGCATCCGTGCAGCTTGTTCCAGGACTGTTTGGTTTTGAGCTCCATCTGCTGGAATTGTGTCCCGTTTCCCATATCTTTGGTGTTATGCTGCTAGGTTTCACAGGAATTGGTTTTAATTTAAAAGAGAATAAGAAACAATGGTCACAGCTAGAGGAATTTCTAGCAAGTTGCTGGTCCTTTTGTTTAAGGAATGAACCTAAAGATTGCTTGGAGAATACAAGGCTCAAAACACAAAATAATTGTGAGACTGCGGAGAAACAATATTAGTTCTTCCTCCACTTTTGTTTACAGAGTTAGTTTCTAGGTATTTTACAGAGATTTGGATTAATCAGGTCAGTGATAACGAATCAAGTTCTGTATGAGATTTCAAAAATAGGTTACTCACTTTACTGTTTTTTCTGAGTTAGGTTTTTGTTTTGTTTAATGTCTGTTGTTACTCTATTATAACTAAGAAAATTAGCAGTGCTTTCAATATTTAATTAACTTTTTAAAAAGCCATTCTTTCCCATTGTGACTGTGTTTCTAGTATTTCAGAATATTTAAGGACAGAAGGGACCGTGATGAACATCTAATTTGATTTTTGTAGTTCCATTGTTCCTTAACAAAAATGTACTGCAAAGAATAATGTGCAAAATTGGAAAAGAGGGCCCTGCTGTGCGAAACCACTCTAAAACTGTTTAAGTAATCAGAGGCTTTCATGGTAAATGATATGATGACTTTCTACAAGTTTTGTTTGTCAGAAGCATCATTCTCTGTTCAGAAGATATATTATAATATTCATGTCAACAATAACGTATATGTGTAGAATTAGGATTGCCACCAGTCCTTGGGTGCAGACACTGGTGTTGGCAGTACCTGTAATTCTAAAGAACAAGCACTTCTCCGGATCAATTACCTTCGCAAAGAGCAAACCACCTACATTTTGAATTTTCCTTTTGTTTAGTTGGAAGACTAGGAATACTACATCCCTTCTCCCTGTCCCTAAGGTAATGCTAGATGTTACTGAGGTATATTCTGTTTCATAATGGGTTTGTGTATATGGTAATTTCAAATATTAATTCCTTGCTGTCCATCTGCCTGTTAGCAATATTTTGTGTTCACTTATGATGTTTGCAACTTTTTTTTTTCTACACTGCAAACTTTGCCTGAACTGGTTTTGGTTTCTTGATGTGGGTAACTCTACGCAGTTATACATAAGTCTTGGGAATAGGGGTAGAGAGGAAGAGATGCAGAACAGAGAAAGCACTAGGCTTGATATTAAAGATAAGTTGGGTTTTTTTTTTCCAGTTCTGCCTTGTACTTCTCATGGACACAGTACACCGCACTCCGTGGTGTACTCCATAGATGCCCAAGCTTGTTCCAGCCTGAGCTGGTCCATCTGCCTCTGCAGTCTATTCAAGTAACGCTGCCCGGGCTAATAACCCCAGAGCCTTGGTTGGGGTTATTCACTCAGGCAGAGCACTGTCCTGGTCCAGCTCTATAACTTCCAATTTCGCCACTGGTTCAGGCTCCACGCTCCACCGTGCAGTGTCCATACATGCTGTGTGATACTAGATAAATGATGTAAAAGTCTGCTGTACAGTAACCTGGGTGTCTGTAGGTTAGATTCATTGCTTCCTGCAGAGTTATGGGGATAAGATCATTAATGCGTATGCAGCAATGTACTTCTTTGAAAGGCCTATTTACTTTTTCAGAAAGTAATTATAATGGATTTCTTAGGCTTTTGCATGGGACAAAACTGTCGGTCATTTTTCACACAGGTTTGGAAGGATATTGTCTGTATTTCTTGACAGCTTCTTATAAAATGGAAAGATAGCTAAGGCGTCTCTTGGTCGCTAGACTTCATTGTTAGATGGGTATGCGCTGCCTTGGGCTGGTATTTAAAGTGCCATGTTTTGAGATCAGTATTTTTTAGACCTACAGAGAAGAAGGCAGTTCAAGGATGGGGCTCTATTAGTAACTGCTACTGTGTTCTGAGATTGAAACTGGCTGGTATGTAGCTCTTTCCCACTGTAGAATAAGTTAGATTGTTACTGTTATTTGTGTAATGACAAGTACTTTGGATTTAAAATTATTCAGTGAGTAATCATGGTCAGCCCCCCCTTGTAGCTCAGTTCTGTTCATGGGATAGAAGTGTGAGGGTTTTGTTGGTTTTATTACAGACCCAAATTCTAATTAATATTTCTCTGTCCCAAACATGTTGTTCTGATTAGAGGCTCTTTGCCTAGGCATTTCTGCCTGCCCTGTTTGAAACCCTGCCTTTTTCTGACTTCACTTCCTGAATCCGTTGACAACACTCACAGCCAAACAAAATACATGTTCACAATGCTGTTATTTGCAAAATATTCCCTTGTGAGTACAGCTGGGGCAACAAAAAGAGAGTTTCTCTCTGAATCTCAAAGAGAACTGACTATTCCTTATAGAAGAAGTGAGGCACATAACGCATTAGGCAATTTTAATCTCGGCAGTTAAGTAAGTGTTAAAACTTTGCATTTCACCACGTACAAATGCATGCACGTCTTTCATTACAGTTGTGCATATTGATCACCAAGTGAGCTAGTAATATACTAAGAGTGCTGAATTTTAATCTATGCTGAAGTGAATCAGATGATAGCAACAGGCTCATAGCCCACCACACTGTTTACAAAACAGATGGAGGTGGAGGGAATATAAACTTACTTTGCCCTGGTTTAGGCCTGATCCTCAAACAAGATGTGGGACCAAAGGAAGGGTTCATCTAAATCACCCCTCTCCTTGCAAAACTGCATAACTGGCACTAAAAAACACCTTGCCTGATGGTAGGTTCCCTGCCTGGACACCAGTACCTCCGAGCTGGACCAAGTCAAGTAACTCGTGTCTCAGAAACCAACCCGCCAGGCAATGCCCACTTAATGAGCAGTGCTATTACTGAGTAACTTTTTTGCCTGTGCTACAGAATGTCCTACTTGAGAGAGAAAACACATAACTGCAATGCTAAATGTCTGTGTGTGCGTATTAGGATAGGGTGGAGCAGACTGTCACTCAGCTGTATTTAATTAACATAGTATTTTATATAATGTATTTATTTTTTACGTAATTAGGTGATTAAGCAAAATGCTTGCTAGTAACATCTATTCCATAACCCAGCACTGTTGAGAGTTAAACATGCACCTTTGCATGTAATTAATCTCCTTGCCCTGCTTATTTTGCTAGTTGGCACTTGCTAAATCCCTGTAAAACCACACCCAGCAGTGCTGTGTATTATCCCTCTGCTGTCTATTCCTACATATGGTCAAAATCAACTTACCTTCCGGGTTGCTGACATCAGCAAAATGTACTCTTGGCAAACTACAGTATCCTCCTAGTAACCCTTTGTTTGGTCGGTGTTACTACAGTTGTATTCCTCTGACAGCAGCAAACACCATCTAAACAGTGCCTACCTTGACACTTGGATTATGATGTGGAAGGAGATTACCATATTATATTTTAAACATTAAAACAACCCCTTATATGATAAAATGCATATAATATGGGAGGGGAAAAAGAAGGTAGAAGAAAGATGCTTCCTGTAAGGAACTGACCCACAGTAGTTGCAAGTTTCAGGGTATCATTTGATAACAGTAAAGGTATATATATACAATTATCTAGTCATCTTGTGAAATGACCTTAAACAAGGCTGCCACTTCAATTAAAATTATGCTTATTCCTATTTTAAGGAAAAAAAGACATTTCTAAGAGTGCCTGCTCTAAAAAGTTAGCATTCACTAATAATTAATTTCTAATATTTTCTGGCTGTCTTTTGATAGCATCTCTTTCCTCCTAGTTGTTTGGCTTTAAACTGCCAGCAGGAAAACATCTGGTCTCCCTTCAAATATATACTTATTAAACTAAGTGAATTGGGTAGAGTGTTGAAAATCCTGGTATAATAATTGTTCCCCCCCCCCAATGAGTTAAGTAGCATGTTTCTAAGGTATATATTTATATTGTCATTATACTAAACCCCAAAATTATTTTATAAAAAATACACGGGAAGTGCCAGAGAAGTTGCTATTTTCAGCAAGTTGCTGAAAACAAGCAACAGGAGTTGCTGTTTTTCAAGTTGATTTTCATTTCCCACTCAGTTCAGTTTTCCCAGCTTTTCTATTGTTAAAAAGTTTAGAACCCCTAACAACACCCCAAAGGGAAAGGATTTCAAGATGGGGAGAAGGTCATAAAATTATTTTACTGTTGACAGCAGCATTATTGTAAATATCAACAAACAAGGATCACCTCCTACCTCAGAGTAAAGGTGAGTATTTCCATTTTTGAAGTCTACAGCATGTTTTGGGTTTTTAAATACAACCACTTGCCTTATCTTCTTGAGGGCATTAATTTAATAAAAAGCATGTCAGGTCAAGTAGTCAGTTGCTCCAATTACAGAGCAGTTTCATACACTGGCTTTCTACCTCCCTACAACCTGCTTGAAGTTAGCTGTCTACATGGGGCCACTAGAATATGGCAGGCAAGCTAGTCAGGTTACAACTGGGAACTACAACTTCAGGACAACTCAAAAAGTTGTATTAGTTTGGTGATGAGGATCTAGCTTCTCCCTCTCCTCCTCACACATTCTCCAGGACATGCCTGTAGTTACAGAGTTAAGTCTAACATAATCCCTACCCTTTAGAGTTCAGCATAAAGGGCATTTTCCCAACTCAGGTACTAGCGCAAAAAAAAGTGTGAGGGGGAAATGCATTTTAATTATTTTATTTTTCTTAAATATAATAGAACCTTCTAGAATTTTTCCAGAAACAGAAACATTAAAAAATTATACTTTATTACAAATGGTAAACTCAGAGTGCTAAAAAAAAGCCTCTTATTTACAAACAATACTGGGCAGTGCCCAAATAAACAACATAAAAATAACTTACAAAGTCATGAAGTAGTTTATTGACATTAATCAACTTTCATAAAATAAAATAAAAAAAGATATGTACATACACAATTTACTTGAAGGCAGGCAGAATAGTTCTTTTTTGTTTATCAGCCTCCCACAAACCTCCCTCCCACTTTTTTTTTTTCTTAAGTAATACTACATAAAGCAATCTACAGTTTCTATTGCAGTTTAACCTTTAATACTGAATGATCATCGAATGTTAGGTCCATGCAGGTCTTGGTCAATGTTAAACGAAGATCTGACATCTCATCTGAGCAGGAACAGCACTTCTCGGAGTGGTGCTGGCTGCTTCACCACTAACTCAAGCTGAAGGCTTGCCAGTCTTTCCACACATGCACTTTGCAGAGCACAGGCAGGACTCAGCCTTTCAGCTTTTACCATTAGCTTTATGCATCTGCCACTTTTGGTTGGTTTTTTTTTAGTTATACCACAATATCACAGTTCTCATTTAAGACAGTCTCTTCAAAACGTTTGCAACTGTTGTGTTAGCATTAGCTGGCACCCGCTGTTGACATGGTTCATGACCTTCTGCTTAAGCTGTGCAACCTGTTCTCTGAGCATGTTGGCAGTGGATGCCAGCTCTGAGTTCTGGGCTTTCAAAGTTTTCACTTTTTCTTCCAACCTGGCAATCCTTTCCAACTTCCTTTTCCGGCATTTGGATGCCGCAATTCTGTTTCTCATGCGTTTTCTCTCAGCTTTGATTCTCTCCTGTGACTCCATGTCAATAGGGGACAGAGGAGGAGTTTCCCCTGGCATTTCAGGTACAGTCTGAGGCTCTTCTTTCAAAGCCTGAAGCCTGGGATGCTGCACGGGCATCTGGGGGTTTATGTGATGCTGAGGCGCATAGCCCATGTTGTTTGCGTTGTAGTTAGGTGCCGAGTTGAGCGCGTTGGGGTTGAAGTTGCTGAGATTGGCGTACACCGGGGGCTCGCTGTGCAAATTCGTATTGAAACTACTGTTGCCAGCCATAGACGACACAGGTGCCATACCGCTGTTAACAGGTTGAGCCGCAGAGGTAACGCTGGGCATGGTGTTCTGGTTGTGCAGTTCCGCCAGGGCTCTCACAAAGCCTTCCGCGAACCCCTCTTGCTCGTCGGTAACATTTTTGGGGCAGAGGAACTGCGTCGGGGTCGGCGTGGTGGTTATTAACCCGTTGCTGGACTGGATGATGAGCCGCTCCAGTTCAGGCGAGGCCAGTTTCAGGAGTCCCACGTCGGGGGACGTGAGGATGTCGGCGTTCTTGTTCCTCAGGTGCGGCTTCAGGTTGCTGGATGGGTCGGACAGGTTCAGCGTCATGTTCTGCTTCAGCACTTTAGCGTTATTATATCCAT